TGGGTTTTATAATTCATTACATTTGAAAACTTTATAATAAATTTATTCATTTTAAGATGGAAAATATTATTATGTTTATAGATGGGATATGATAGAGAAAATAATGAAATTTTATTAAAATTCTTAAATATAAAATATTAAAACTTGGAATGTACACATAGTGGTGGCTTCAATATCCAACACTAAAACATTCAACTTGGGCAACATTTTGACAACTCAAAACGTGCATATAAATTATAATAAGGTCAATTTATTTAAATATGTTTGATTAATTTAGAAGGGATCAAATAAAAATATGAAAATAATATTAATTTCAATATCCAATCATATGATTAAATAATAATCTAAACAAGTATTATTATTTAGAGGTTATTTGTTTCGAAACCACACAAATTAAAAAAAAAAAAAAAAATCCTAACTTCTGAAATGCACAAAAAAGGATCATAAAACAAACGTGATGGCTAAAGATAACACAAATTAAAGAATAAATATTCAACAAATTGAATAAAAGGGCAACATATAAATTAAATTGCCAATTTATTGTATTTATGATATTTAAATAAAAGGGTATTTTAGTCTTTACACAAAATTATATGTCTAAATTTTTTTTTTTTTTTTTTTTTTGTAATTTAAGAAGAAATAATAAAATTAATTGAAGTCAAAAGTTAGGAATTGAAGTGATAGACATGGAATGGTTGAAAAAATCAAATGAAATTCTTAAAAATAATGAATTCATAATTAATTCTTTAAAGTTCCTTAACCTTAGTTATAAACTCTATTTAAAACAAAGACAAAAATAAAATAAAATTGACTTGTATTACACGAAAATATATGATATTATTATAAGATCCAACCTTAAACGTTCTAATAATTTTATAGTAGGTTTCTTGTCTTATCTTTTGTTTTAATTCCATCATGAAGATTAGCATTTAATTACCAAAATGAATATTTTAGCTTTTTTCTTGTAATTACTTTTTCTTGGTATTCTTTTTTCTTAGAAAATTACCATTTTCAATCAATATTAATTTTGATGTTATTTTATAACTAATCAAACGATTATATTTAAAGTTTTAAAACAAAAATTCTATTAAGATTAAACGTTTACCACCCAAAATAAAAAAAAAAACTTCAGTAAAAATGCAACCTTATTTCCTTAAACGTTAGCTTCCGTCCACGGTTCAAGGTAACACAACCTCGGTCTCCGCCACATCAGAATGTTGACCCACCTAACCAATAAGTTCAAGAAATTAATTATTTTTTATAACTTACAAAGAATGATCATGTTAAAAAAAATTATTATAATATTTTTTTCACTCTTTTTTGTAGATATTATGTCCGTGAAATTTATAGATTAATTAAGAGTTGGCAAAAGAAGATAGAAACAAGAAAATTGCTTCCATACAAAGAAAAGAAAATTATGAATACCCTTCTATTGATATGGACAAATAATTGTGCTATGTTTTGTTCTGTTCTTTTGGGTCAACTTTGTATGCCTTCAATTTCATTTTGCTTAAACAATAATTTTCCTTAATTTTACAATGATGCTTGCTTTCACAATATTATTTCCAATTCCAAGTATTTCTTTTTCTTATTATTTTTTAGTTAAAACCTATTTTTCTTTTTCTTTTTTGAGAATCCATATGTCCCGACACTTACTTTGCAAGCCTGACTTTAAAATTAGAGTCCCCTCGAACCTTACAATTTTTGGGAAGTGGGAAAACTGGACCATATATATTACAAATCCCCAGCACTTGCTTTGTAAACTAGACTTTGAAATTAAAGCCTTTGTCGAACACCTACAATCTTTGAAAAGCAGGAAAACTAGACCATTTTATATTATGCTTTTTGGAAATAATAAGAATTTTCTTATCATTAAAAAGCCTTTAAACTTTAGACATTAAAATAAATATTGAAGACAATTATGTTAATATCTATTAAATAAAGGTAGAGAATTTATTTTATTTATGAAACCTCAAAGAATAAAATTCAAAAGATCGATTTTGTATTTGAAGTTAACGAAATTTTACAGAAACTATATCCTCCTAATTAATGAAATTTCTCTTTGTTAACCAAAAATAATTTTTTTTTTTTTTTTACCAATAATTTAATTCCAAGATTTTGGCCTCCAAAATGACAACGGTCCACGAATTTTAGCAGCATGGGATGGAGATCTAAAGGTAGTTATGCTTTTAATTATTTAGATGGAAACTTTAAATTTTTATGTTTTTCATTTTTGTGGAGACAACAGTTTTAGTAATCGAAAAGGTATATGAACAATAACACATTTAATTGGTTCCTTTTTTTTTTTTTTTTTTTTTCATTGTTTATATGTATATTTAAATTTATTATATTTTTAATCATTAATAAAGAAAAAAAAAGACCCCCATTTAATTTATTTTATCAAACTTAAAGCCCAAGCAAAAATGATGCAAATAATTAATCAAAAAATCTTCTTAAAGACTAATCTATATTAAGTCCAAAACTTCTAAATCATGAAATGTCATTATTCATTCAACATTTTTTTTTTTTTTTTTTGTTAACTAAGGTGTTTGGACTAGTTTTACATATACCTCAACTAATTATCGGAAGAAATTATCCCACAGGCCACAACAACCAATCCACACGACCTTCAGATAATTAAGAACAAATGTGCTTCAGGAATCTTAAATGTTACTATTCATTCATGCATTTTATCCTCAATTATTGATTTTTTTATTTCTTTTTCTCATATGAATTTATTTTATATTTTTTTTAGTTTTAAATTTGATCTACACGTTAAAATTTAGAATATATGTAATTAATTTTTAATATATATTATAAATTTTTGAGTACGTCTTGATATATTATAAAACCTTTTTTTTTATTATAACATTAAAAATATTTTCAAACACAATATTAATCACTTAAATTAAAAATCCCAATATATAAATTAATAAAGGCACTTATAACAAATCACTTTTCCCAAAATAAACAGTCAAACGCAGCCTTATTAAAGTTGGTGGCGCGAAACAACGTCTTTCTTTGACTCCTCTCTCAACTGAATAACCTTCTTCTAAATCGATTAATCCCTCTCAAAGCAAATCAACATCAAACCCAATCGGTTACCTCTCCCGCCGGAATCTCCCTGTCCGAGTCTCCGATCACCCTCCTCCGCTCCCTCGTCGCTCTCCGGCCAAGTCTCCTCCGTCTCCACTCACCCAGTTCGTAGTTCCGCCAGCTCTCGACGGAATTAAGGTCAGATTTTCCACTTAAAAATATTTTCTCACAGTTATATTATTTCTTAAATTTTAAAGGTTTTAATTATTGATTTTATTTTCACTTTCCTTGATAGTAGTGAAATATTAAAAAAAATATATATTTTATTGCTATTTCTGGCATAAAAATTAAAAAAGAAGGAAGCACCAGATTCAATGAACTGTCTCGCTTTGCAGTATTTTTCTGGGCAATTTCTGAGAGGGATTACATGAACAGTTTTTATCACGTAAAATGTTTGCAATTTCAGAGACAAAACCTGCAAAAAATCTGAATATTTCCATTTGTTTTTTTAATTAATTCTTAATAAAACCCATTTAATCTCCAGTTAAATCCAAACTTAGATCATATCTCATCTGGGTATCATCCAAAACAAAAAAAAAAAAATCCCAGTGGTCAAAACACAAAAAATAAAAAATCTAGTAATTTTTAATTAATTTTTTTTGTACTTTTTTCACTTATATTAATGTAAAATTTTTTCAGTTTATTTATTTCGGTTTCTAACAGTTTCCTCCTCAAGATTTGAAAAAAAATAACAAACACACCCAAGGGATTCAGATAGTAACAAGTACACCCAAAAAACTATATAAATAAATAATTAAATTACTTTTAAATAATTTGCATAAAAACAAATCACGTTATTTGGAGATTTTTCATTGCTTTTAGATTATATTAATCACAATCATTTGACTCATTAAACACATATTAATGAGATTTAATATGCAATAGAATCAGGCATGATTGATGTTTAAGTTTTTCATCATCACCTTCATTTAATTCCCTTTCATGAAAAAACGGGAGTGGGGTATGCCGTTCATGCTTTCATTCAATAATATTTTTTCATGTATATATTAAATTATTATTTTTATTAATGGTTGGTTTTATTTTTGGTAAACTCAGTAATTATCTTTCCCCCCTGAACACAAGACTTGACTATGTAAATGTTATGATAAGATTTTTCTAATTATGTGAGAAAAAGTCATTTTTATTCTTTTTTTTCGGAATCACTGTTTGTTGTAGTCGAAAAATGAATATAATACATGTCATAATATTTTATTTGTGTTTTCACGTAAGATTTTCTGTATTGTAGGAGAAAAAGTCATATTTTTCCGCATTGATCGGAATTAGGGTTTGTTTCAATTTGAAATGTATATATACTAAGATTTTCCCAATTTTGTGATAAAGTATTTTTTTTAGGGATTGTTTTAGTTTAAAAATGAATGTCTATATGTTATGACATTATAATTATGTTTTTATATAAAATCTGTTCAATTACAACAAAATCTTCGATAATTTGAACAAATATATCACGGTATCTATATAATATTTTCTTTAACAATTTTTTTTAAAATGGTTAAATTCAAAGGTAAAAAACGATTTAAATAAAACACATATTTCGTATCATTCTAATACGTTCTTCTTAGCTAACCTAAATTAAGAAGACTTAAAGAGATGAGAATATTTTTTTCTTACTTTTTTTTTTTTTAATCTCCATTGTTGACAGCAAAGACGACCACGGCACTCTCGTGACAGGGACAAAAGAGAAATACATACCAAATTAAATAAAAAAAAAAAGTCTCTGCATTTTCTTATCCTACGCACACAACTCACGTCTTATCCTACACTACAGCCCTCAACTTCCCCAACATGAACAACAACAGTTGTTCAATTTTGATTTCCTAGTCTTCCCTTTATACTAGGGGACCCTCTGCAAAAATGCAAAATTTTTGGTGGTTGTGGGACTCTGAAATTTTAGCTTGAAATCCATAACAAATACCTCAACCGTTAATGCACGTTGTGCTTCACTCCGCAAATTTCTGTGACCCCATTGTTTGTCCCAAATGTGGTTGCTTTTGTTCATGTTTTATCTCCATTCTCTGAAAAAATCTGCCTTCTTCCAACTCCAGTTTCATGATCTAACCGTTTTGTTTATGATTCAACAACACCCTTCTCAAATTCAGCTCCTTCCAGATCTGGGTTCTTGTAAAGATGTATTCTTTTTCTTTTCTTTCTTTTTTTGTTTGCTTTATGGGTTTTTGTGGTTGTTTATTATTCTTTGCTTTTTCTGATGCCCTTCTGTAAGTATCTTACTGTTTTTGATTTCTTTGCAGAGAAAAGGATCTTCTTTGTGGGATTTATCTGGCAAAAACGAATCATTAGGGGGTTTTTGCTGAAAGGATTTGGGTTTTTTCCTCAATGTGGTTTGGTTTTGAGAGTGTTTTGTGATTGATTGATGGATGTTTGTGGATCGTTGCACAAGCAGTCGCCAACTGAGACTCCTAGACCGCCTTTGGTTCCAGCTGAAAAGAACAATGCTCTCAATTCAGTGTCGAGTCGTCGGCCGAGGATTCGAGAGGTTAGTTCAAGGTATAAATCGCCTTCTCAAACAATGCCTTCTAGTACTAGGCGTTGTCCATCTCCTAATCTTACAAGAAGTTTCTCTTCACATACTCCATCGGGCTCTAAGAGAGCCGTATCGGCTGAGCGAAAACGCCCTTCAACACCGCCCTCACCGCCTAGTCCTTCAACACCTGTTAATGAGTCATCTGTAGATAGTACACAATTGTCATCTAGAAAGTTGAGTGGTGGAGGTGGAGGTGGAGGTGGTAGACTGCCTGAAAGTTTGTGGCCCTCTACAATGAGGAGTCTTAATGTATCATTTCAGTCGGATACGATTTCTATTCCTGTAAGTAAGAAGGAAAAACCAGTTACAAATGTTGCCTTGGATCGTACTTTGAGACCGCCTTCGAATGTTGCTCATAAGCAGGGTGAAATGCATGGTCCTCTGTCTAGGAAGCCCACGCCTGAGAGAAAGAGGAGTCCTCTTAAAGGGAAGAATGCGCCTGATCAATCTGAGAATTCTAAACCAGTTGATGGTTTACAAACTAGATTGATAGATCAACATCGGTGGCCTAGTAGAATTGGTGGGAAGGTATCTGCCAATCCTTTGGCTAAAAGTGTGGATCTTGTGGATAAGATTTTTAGAAACTCATGTACATCAGGTCAGGGAATTGGGATACCTTCATTGAGGAGAAATTCTCTTGATGGTTTGAGTAGACCTTCACAGAAATCTTCTAGTGACACTGCTTCTAGATTGTTGACGTTTGATGAAGTTAGTAGATTAGGGACTGTGGCAAAGTCAGTCGATGACAGTTCACTGCGAGTATCTGGATCTTACAAGCTTACCTCTGTAAGTTTATCTGAGAGATCAACGTCAGCAGCTGCTGCAGTTAGATCACGGCCTGCCTCACCAAGTAGGACCTCAATGTTACAATCCTCTAGAGGTGTCAGTCCATCTCGGCCAAGACCATCAACTCCACCTCCAAGAGGCATCAGTCCATCTCGGATAAGGTCATCGACTACTGCTAGTCAATCCAGCAGTTCAACTTCTGTGCTCAGCTTTATTGCGGATTTTAAAAAAGGGAAAAAGAGTGCAAGCTACATAGATGATGCTCATCATTTGCGGCTGCTTTACAATAGATATTTGCAGTGGCGATTCACAAATGCCCGAGCAGAGGCTGTACTTTATATTCAAAAAATAATGGCTGAGGTACGATCCTTATCTCTGTGAAACTATCTCTCGTTTCTCTCTCAGATATTTGTTCCTTTAACTGCATCATTTAAATATCTAATGCTATAAAAGGACATTCTCAATAAAGAGATTTCCTTGGTGTTAACTTTAGTTATATATGAATGAATTACTCCTGTTGATGGTTTTGTCATTTATGGGTTACTGTCTTCATGCTGAAGATAAACTTGGGTAACCAGAGGTTGTCATAATCATTGATTTTATATATGATCAATGCTTAGCATTGATTCTTAGATAGTATTCCTTTTATAGCATCAAAACTTTTAACATACAAACTGATTTGATGGTGCAGGAAACTTTATACAACGTTTGGGACACTACTTTAAATCTGTGGGATTCAGTAATCAGTAAAAGAATTAATCTCCAGCAGCTGAATCTGGAACTTAAGTTAAATGCAGTTTTGAACGATCAAGTATGTCTTGTCTCTCATTTTGATGTCATTTTTTTTATCAGTCTCTCTTAAAAAATTGCATTGATCTATTTTTGATGATTTTTGTCGATTTGATCTGAAAAATAGGTTATGGTTTTGAATTCTCTACAGGATAGTTATAGTGATGTGCTAAAAACAAATTTATATCTTGAAAATATGTTAATGGAAACAATATTCTTAGACCTGGAGACCTCCTTATTTACACATTTAGTGGATAGAACATTTTGGTGGCCCTGTAAAATCTCATTGCCAGAGTTATTCTTGAATTCATGAGCGATTCTTTTTTATGTTAAAATAACAAATCATTGAGAAACAGTTCTTCAAACCTTAAGTCAGTTGTAAATAATAAGATGTCCCATTATTCAGCCTTTGACTAATAACAGGCTTGCATAGATTTGGAAATAATAAGTATTGTCACCGTATCAGTTCTTAATTGATGGTACCATCTAAGTGTTTGCATTTACAATGATGATTCAGATGGCTTACCTTGACGATTGGGCTTCAATTGAAAGAGATCATATTAGCTCTTTATCTGGCGTTGTGGAAGATTTGGAGGCGAGCACTTGCCGAGTTCCAATAACCGGCGGAGCAAGGGTATTTTAGATTTTTATAAGTCATTGAATTAATATCCAAAAAGAGAAATCTTGGCATCATTTTTGGATTTGTTCTTTTACAGGCAGACATTGAATCTTTAAAGGGTGCTGTTTGCTCAGCTGTTGATGTGATGCAGTCAATGGGATCCTCCATATGTTCTTTACTTGCTAGGGTGAGATATTATTGATTTTATCCAATCATATTGTGAGGATACTGTACTGTGTATTGTGGCATCCATTACATTTGGTTTAGGACAATTGTTTGAATGTTAAATACGCAATGTTTGCCTGTTTTGAAGAATTATTTTCATTTTTTTCTGTTCACCATCTTTCTGCTTTGATGAGAGCATATTTTTTTCTATGATTCAATATTTCCACCACATTTGCATTTGATCCCTTATAGGACCTACAAATTCTGATATAACCATTGGTTCATCTCACTGATAACGTTCTGTGGTTCTAGTATATAATTGGCAATGCTTGTCTCCTTTTTTGACCTTCTGTCATTTGCAGTTGGAGGGGGTGAACAGTTTGGTTTCTGAACTTGCTGTTGTAGCAGCACAAGGAAAAGCAATGCTGGATGAATGTGAAGCTCTTTTAGCTTCAACAGAAGCAATGCAGGTGAGAATTGCTTAATCATTGCAAAAAGTTTATGCTTGCTCAGAAATACTTTAGTATAATTTAATGCCATTATTCATTAAGATCTTCAATTGATGAGCAGATTTAAGTAGGAAGCTATGCAATACTCTGCGCTTATTAATGCATGCCAAAGTTGTTAAAATCACAATTAAAGTCATGCTATCTTGAGTTAACTTTTTAAAGTTGCATTTGCACTAACTTCTAAGGTGCTGTGTAGCAATTATTGCATTATATTTGTGTGTGTTACCATGTCCCTTTCAATGAGAAAATATTAGTAGAAATAAAAAAGATGATGTTACAGTTGGACTTTGCAAGAAATCTTAGAATGGCAGCAAGATGCATTTTTGGTCTTTATCATCCATGCCCACCAATTTGATGCTGAAGCTTTACAATAGTTTATAGATGTGTATCCAAGGTTGAATTTCTCCTTTAACTGACCGATTGAATGTTTTTTTGATTGCCTGACAATCATACTTTTCTTTCCCTTTATGAAAAGGCTCATTTAATATTCATGTGGGATTGAATAGACCGTTTCACATTTAGCTATGCAATGACCTGACATGCTTGAGCATCCTTGTCACTCATCGTCAGCTAGCTGGTCAGGTCTGTCCGGGCTGGGATTGTTCCAAAAGACCCTTTTAAGTGCAAAAATCCGAGCCCCAATTAGTTTATCGATTGTTTCGAGCAATACTTGTCAGGCAGTCTGTCTGTTTGTGTAGCGACCCAGTGGGGCTACTCTTAACTGCATATACTTACATAGCTGAAACTTTACCCTCATCAAATGGTGGAGAGTTGGCGTTCTTTAACTTTGATAGATGTTCAAATGGTTGGGTGGGTTCAATCAATGCAGTCTGTCAATTGCTTCATTATTCCCTGCTCATGTGCCCATTAGTCCTTTGTCATCTAGCAATTCAATTGTTCTCACATGGCATTTAAGCAGAAGTCCTTATCAAACCTCTTTTTGTTTCTTTCTCTGTCTGTATCTTTCTGCAAATTAAACCAGGACCTGTTTTTTCAAGCTCAATAGTTTACTTTCTTCTTTATCATGCACACTTCTTGGATTGTATTTGATCGCTTTCACCGTCGTCGTCGAACAGGTAGAGGAGTACAGCCTTAGGACTCATCTTATACAAAAGAAACAAGCTTTGGAGAAGGGATGACGATGAGAGCAGCCATTCATGGCCATAAAAAATAAAACTTCCATGGCCCTAACCAGCTGCTATGATGCTAACAAATTTACTTCAAGAGAGAGAGAATGCTGCTTGCTTGGGTCTCAGTAAATGTAAATTTTTTTTTACTTTGTTGGATTTTTTAATTAATTAATTTTTTCTTTTCTACGCGCGAGCAACCGGCTCCAATCTTTCTTAGGTGTAATTTTTGTACCAGGCATATGAACAGAAAATGCAAAGAAATCAAAAAAGGGTTAAAATTTCAATGTAGAAAGAAGCAAAGTTTCAGTGAGAGGAAGAAAAAGCTTATTGAATAGATTCTGTTGTATCTCTTCATTTACATTATAATACTTCATCATCATATTGTTACAGTAATCTATATTGTGTTCTTTCATTTAATATATTTGGAGGATGGTTATTGGTAATTAATATTAAATGTCAAATGTTACTCTAATATTGTTGGATCGAAATAATATTTTATATATAATAATTCAACAGTAAATATATAGTTATGGTATAATTATATTAAGACGGTCTTGACTAGAGAACTGTTGTGTATAAATAGTTATTTATTTATTTGTAAATAAGGCGTATTGAAATAATCAAAATTTCTTCAGGATTCAAGTCAAGAGATAAGCGATTCTAGAATAAAATAATCTTTTTACGATGCGGTTATCAATCAATTGTAACAATAATGATTCTACGACCATTGTCTCAAATAAAAAATTGATCATATCAATACATGAAAAATATATAATCATTTATGTTTTTGTAAATAACGGGTGTATGACCCAAAAATCACCTTGGGCCTGATAAGACCCAAGTAGATATTTTCTACTATATAGGCTCAAGGTCACGGCCCAATTCTGGTTAGACCAACATCAATATTCATGGTATGGGCCAAAACGTGCAGCCCAAATCCGACCTCTCTCCAAAATAGGCATCATTGGTAGCCCACCTAAGGCCAGGCCTTCTATACTAAGGTAATCAAGACTCTTCCTATTTGAGTTCTATCCTGATTCGCCTAAGATTTCATATCTTAGGTGAATTAGGACTCTGAGTACTAATGAAGCAAGCGAACCAGGATTTTTCCTATTCACTAAACTTCTTCCATTGTGGATTTAAAGTCCTAGATGCGTAGATCCTATAATTATTATATAAACAGGACCACTCTTCTGTTTAGGCATTCAATCTCATTACCACATATTTACACCCAAACTCCTATTCTTACGTGTTCTACACCTACGTCGTGATCCTAGTTTTCGACTTAACCTCCGATAACTCTTCATTTCCTTAGCCCTCACTAAATTGCTTCATTAAGCCTTACTGACTTGAGTGACTTAAGCTTCAGGATGTCTACGGCAGACACGACACCTGTGTTTACATAAGCTTTAAACTTATTTACTTTGTGTGCAGGTACAACAAATTGTCAATGACTTTTATCTCATAGGATTAGACTTTCTTTCCGTAACAGTAGATTTTAGCATTTACAAAGGGCAATGAAATAATCAAAATATCACGCGTGTAATGTTACTGGTAATCGGTAATACGGGGCTGCTCTTTTGATTCTATTTCCCGCCTTTTTTGTATGAATATTGAACAGACAGTTAAACTTCAAAGGAGAAAAAACTAACTTATGTCTTTTAGCTCAACGCTGCCAGGGACCAGAAACTTGTTTCTGAGTCTTCTCAAGTCGGCTAAAACCCTTTCTCAACTTACTCAAACGCACGCTCAAATCATACTCCATGGCCTTCAAAACGACCTCTCAACCATCACAAAACTCGCCCACAAACTCTGTGACTTCAACGCCCCGCTTTACGCAAAATCCCTCTTCAATTCCTTCCCAAAACCCGACCTTTTCCTCTTCAATGTCCTCATTCGTGGCTTCTCCGGCAATAAAAACCCTCAAGCTTCCATTTTGTTGTTCACCCACTTGAGAAAAACCACTAATCTTAGGCCTGATAACTTCACTTATTCGTATGCCTTGTCTGCGGCGTCTAATTTTATTGATCATTGTGTAGGTGTTTTGTTGCACGGCCAAACGATTGTTGATGGGCATACGTCTAATTTGTTTGTGGGTACTGCTTTAGTTGATTTGTATTTTAAGTTTTCGCGTGTCAAGTCAGCGCGTAAGGTGTTTGATAAAATAACTGACAAGGATACAGTTTTGTATAATTCTATGATTTCTGGGTTGGTGAAGAACGCTTGTTTTGAGGATTCTATTTGGGTTTTTGTGGATGTGTTTAGAAATGGCGGTATAAGGTTGGATTCGACTAGTTTGGCTGTTGTGCTTCCGGCTGTCGCAGAGTTGCAAGAGTTGAGACTGGGGATGGAGATTCAGTGTTTGGGTTTGAAATTGGGGTTTCATGATCATGGTTATGTGCTTACTGGGTTGGTTTCATTGTATTCGAGATGTGGTGAGATTGAGAGTGCAAAGCTGTTGTTTAGGGAGATTGATCGGCCTGATTTGATATCTTGTAATGCAATGATATCTGGGTATACTTGTAATGGTGAGACTGAAGCTTCAGTTATGCTGTTTAAAAAATTGCTGGCTTCAGGGGAGAAAGTTAATTCAAGCACGATTGTGGGGTTGATACCTGTGTTTTATCCTTTTGGCTATTTACACCTCACCGGTTGTATTCATGGGTTTTGTGTAAAAGCTGGAATTGTTTCACATTCTTCTGTATCAAGTGCTTTGCTTACTGCTTATAGTAGACTAAATGAGACTGAAGCTGCAAGGCAGCTTTTTGACGAGTCTTCAGAGAAAAGTTCAGCTTTATGGAATGCCATGATAGCTGGTTATACCCAAAATGGTTTAAAAGAGAATGCGATTTCTCTTTTCCAGGAAATGCAGAGATCGAAAGTCATTCTGAACGCTGTGACTATTACAAGTACTCTTTCTGCATGTGCTCAACTTGGAGCTCTAAATATGGGGAAATGGGTGCATGGGTTAGTGAAGAGCAATAATGTTGAGACTAATGTATTTGTGTCAACTGCTCTAATTGACATGTATGCAAAATGTGGAAGCATTATAGAGGCACGACAGTTATTTGACTTGATGCCAAAGAAGAATGAGGTGACTTGGAACGCCATGATTTCTGGATATGGCCTCCATGGACATGGCAAAGAAGCACTAAAGCTCTTTTCTGAGATGTTGCATTCTGGCATTCGGCCAGCTAGGGTTACATTTCTTTCTGTCTTGTATGCTTGTAGTCATGCTGGGTTAGTGAGAGAAGGAGATGAAATATTCAAATCCATGGTCCATGATCATGGTTTTGAGCCATTAGCTGAGCATTATGCCTGCATGGTTGACATCCTTGGTCGAGCTGGACAATTAGAGAAAGCCTTAGAATTTATAAAGGGTTTGCCAGTTGAGCCAGGCCCTGTTGTGTGGGGTGCATTGCTTGGTGCCTGCATGATTCATAAAGACACAAACCTAGCCCGTGTGGCTTCTGCAAAGCTATTTGAATTGGATCCGGAAAATGTAGGATACTATGTGTTACTGTCAAATATTTATTCAGCTGAGAGAAACTACCCACAGGCTGCATCCACAAGGCAAGTAGTTAAGAAGAGAAAGCTTGCAAAGACTCCTGGGTGCACTCTAATTGAGATTGGTAATACTCCTCATGTCTTCACGTCTGGCGACCAGCTCCATCCCCAAGCAAAAGCAATTTATGCAATGCTAGAGCAGCTGAATGGAAAGATGAAGGAGGCTGGATTTCAGACAGAGACCATCGCAGCTTTCCATGATGTGGAGGAGGAAGAGAAAGAACAAATGGTGAAGGTTCACAGTGAGAAGTTGGCCATTGTGTTTGGCCTTATCGCCACTGAACCTGGAAGTGAAATTAGAATCATTAAAAATCTCCGGGTTTGTTTAGACTGCCATTCGGCAACTAAATTTATATCCAAGATTAAGGAAAGAGTCATTGTGGTTAGAGATGCAAATAGGTTCCACCACTTTAAAGATGGAGTATGTTCTTGTGGAGACTACTGGTGAAAAAACTGTACACTGATCAAGGTATGTTGGGTAGAGCTATCATTTAATGTTTCAGTTGCATATGGTTTGTATGATTACAATAGAATCTGGACAACATCATTCTGACCTTGCCCCAGTCATTAATGGATATTCTGGAGATTATAACCAAAAGTTGATGAAATAGATTGTCATCATCTGACAAGCTCTTTAGTTTTATATCGCTGCTTGCACCCTCTGATTTGTCAATGCTTCTGGATTCTAATTAGAGAGAGAGAGAGAGAGAGAGGACATATAAAATAAGAAATCAGTTCCATGCTAAAGTTTGATTTGATTTTAAAAAGTCATTAGTAGCATAATGTCTATGGTCTGACTAGAAATCAGTTCAGGCAATGAATTATGTATAGTTGAGTTCAGGGCTAGTTGCTCAAGCCGAGAGTTTGATCTGGGGCTCTGGGAACATGCTCCTGGGAAAATGACGTTGTGGTAGTTTTTGTTAACAAGCATATATTTGTTTAGCATCGTGCCTCTTATTTTTTCAACTAACGAGTTCTGTGAATTTTGCTTTGGTTTTGGTGTTCTAAGAATCCTTCTTATTCTAAAAGTTATCCATCCTGCAGGCTACAAGGATGAACAATCCACCTGAAAGATCAATAATCCCTCCACCTATGAATGCAACTAATTCACATACTTAAGGTATTCAATAAACCAATTCTTGGCTATACTTCAGCAATAAGCATCGACGAATAACTAGGTAAGCTTTAGGTTTAGGATTTCCTGTCTGTAATTTGGTCCTAGGCTTCCTTTTTGTTTGCTGGAAAGTTGAAAGAATGCTTTTTGTGAAGTCACTGAAACCAGCTAAATTATTTTGTGTACAAGCTACGCGGTTCTAATCCATTCTTCTGATGCAGGTATGCACCATCATATATTGGTGAATCATTAAGGCAATCAAGAAAATTTGCAGGCTGAAAATGGCATAAATCAGGTGCATTTCACGTCCGAAACCATTATTGTTTCGATGCAGCTCTTTCCCTCACCAAATGGCTTGATGAACAGATGAACTACAATTCATACCAAGGGATGTTGCTCAACTGGCTGGAAATCATCCCAACAAATTTAACTTTAATTGTGTCATTGAACAGGCTCTATTTATCTTATTTTTTAGTTACATACTTAATACTCACCACCTTTTTCCTAATTGGGAATGAACTTCCACCATGTATCCATCGGAAAAGAATTTCAAATCAGATACAAATTTCTTCAATCACTCAAAAAGAGAATTCAGATATCGTCTTGCATGTTAAATTGATATATGAAAATCCCCATGAACTAAGACTAATGAATACACAATGATTATGACATTTCCAAATATTTG